TTTTTATTTCTCCATTCCAGCAATAAAGAAGAGGCTAATCCCAACTGGTTCCGGAATTTCCTCATCCAAACAGAGCACACAGAAACAAAAAATCAAGAATATTTTCTCCGTTAGGAAATAAAAGGTGCTTCTCTTGGAAAGGCTCAATAATTAGAAAGATCTTGTGGAACTTTCTACTTTTTCTCTTTTCACGAGAATCGATGGCTATAGCGCTGGATCATTTTCAACACCTTAATTAAAAAAATTAAAACTTAAGTTTCAACTATTTTGAATTATTGATTGTATAAAAACCTTTGTTTTATTCTATCGAGTTAAAAAATGTTAGATTTTTATTTATAATTTGTTTCGCAAACAAAATATATATAATCTATATTACTATTTTATTTATATTATAAATTACAAATAAATCTATATTATTGATTAAAAACAATAATTTAAATTTTAAAAGTTTATTAACACCTAATCATTACAAAATTATTAAAAAAGTTAAAAACTTAAAAATCAAAAAATTATTATTTCGAAATAATAAAAATCATTTAAAAGAAAAATAACAGAATAACAGTAAAATCTATATAAAAACGTCTATAAAAGTAATTAAACCAGCAGTTTTAAACCTCAATCAAATTCAAATAGAAGTTCCCACTAATAAATTTTTAAATTTGGGTCCTAATTTTGCACCTTCTTATAAAAATTACCGTATGCGGAGATTAATGAATATCAGAAAAATTGTTACTATTATTCTTATTATTATCATTCTGTTCACTATTATTTCTTGTTTTTCTTGTTAATTATGATCGTTTACGTTTATTATACTTTAGTCTGATGATTGCAATAATCTTAAAGGACGCTATTTAAGACACCAAGTTTTGTTTTTATCATTTTTTTTTATTCGTCAAAAAAACGTTTTGAAGATAAAAGATAATGATAAAAAACGCAAGTGTCAAACAATGAAATCTGTTTTTGATGTACTTTTTAAAAAAAATCAAATTTATTGTGAGCCTTAATTAAAATACAACAAATTTTTAAAATTACATTTATGATCATCAAACACTAGTTTATGTTAAATGTTGAATTAAGAAGTTCTTGTAATTAGAAAATATCTCTTTATCTCCCAAAAATTCCCTTTTTACGAAAAAATATCGTTTAATCAAGTTAAAAGAAAACACTTATTGTTTTGCGTTGGGTATAGATCATTTATTTATTTTACTGTTTAAATAAGATTTAAAATGTTCAATAATATAACAAAATAAAATAATTGGCTAGAGCAAGAAGTAGGCATAAATTAGCCTTATCACCAAGCCCCATTAAAAACGCTTCAAAAAATCCAAAATATCAAAATAATAATAATAATAATAATAATAATAATAATAATAATAATAATAATAATAGCAATAATAGCAATAATAACAATAATAATAATCCAGCATTTGTAAATACTTTTTTGTTATTAGAAAGAAAGCAGCCGTGATGCAGTGATTAGAGCGCTAGTTTTAGAAGCAGGAGATCCAGGTTCGAAACGAAATCTGAACATATTTTTGCGTCACGGTAAGGAAGCAGGCGTGAACTTCCCAGTTAAATGCACACCGCGGTGCTCTGTTTTTTTTTGGTAAAATGATTATAGTAGTAATATCTTTTTAAATTTTGTCTCTTAAATTTTGTTTGAATTGAATTTTTAGAATTAGATAAAAAACAACACTTTATGTTAACTTTCTACTTTTAGTGTTGCCACAGACAAGTTCATTACTATTAATGCTTATTATCAGTTTTTTCGTCCATTAACTAAATAATGTGATTACTTTGGTTAAAAATCTCTCTAATTTGTGTTTAATAAACCTTTAAATTCTTTTATTTAAAAATTTTTTATAATTCGGTTATTAATAAAATATGTTTATAAAATATTTTTTATTCAACCTTATTGTTAATATAATTAATAATAAACTGGTAAATTAAAGTATTTTAAAAACATTGTCCAACCATTACTTTTAAAACAGTTTACAAAATAATAATGAGTTTTTAAATTAAATGAGATATGACGTATATGGAATAATATTTTAAACATGATTAACCGTCATTACATTGCTCCCTCAAGGTATAATATTGTCAAATAAAAATTATTTATACTTAAAAAACAACCAATGGTATTATCTAATTGAAAAACTTTAAAAAAAAGATAAGTAAACTTAAAAGTTTTAAGTTTTACAATTCGTAAAATAAAAAATGTATTCATTAAATAAAAAAATTAATTAATTAACCGTTATTTATTTGCTTTTAATTTAAAAAAAATATTGACTAAAAAATAATATATTGGTTTGAAGAATATAATTCATATCATAAAAAAACACTGCGCACACCCACATACACACACACATACACACGCAAATATACTATTTTCCAAAATAACCTACACCTTCACACACCCACACATACGCAAACGCAGAAATAAAATTTTTAACTTAATTTGTTGTAGCTGCAAAAAAACTCAATAAAAAAAGTTAGATATTTTAGTTTTGAAATAAGCAAAAATATTAATTAAATGAAATTTTATTAAAAAAAAAAAACAAATTTTAAGTTTTTTTTGGTCAAAAAAAAAAATGCCTTCTTAACAATAGACTTATTCCATTGTTTATTAAACATAATGTAAATACAAGTAGCAGGTTAAGAAGAATACATAGTTTGTCTGATCAACCTGTTATCTATAGCATAAATAAATAATAATTTTTTTTTTTAAATAGCAACCATTATTAAAAAATTCAAAAAAACAATAATTAAAATGTCTCCAGTTTATATATAAGTGAAAAACTAAACAAAAAAAGTTATTACAACACGCATTTTTAAAACACTTCAAGAAAAGTTAAAAGTGATGTTTTCTCGACAATGGGAAAAAAACATTGTTCAAATCTAGAAATTGTAATACTCAATGACGTCAATTGCTATTGCTTAAAGATGTTGCTCAGAAGTTTTAAAAAAATTGTTATTTATTTAAAAATTATTACTAAAGTAGTGGTACTTAGATTTTTTCGGATATTTATTCCGATATATTGGATATAAAGTTACTTTTAATATATTAATTTACTTCAAAGAAAATTAGCGGAAGACTTGGAGTAACCGTTTAATCGAGTGATCGAGAACCTTTAAAATATAAAATAAACGTAAAATAATATACTATATATATAATACTATGTAAATAATAAAATAAACTTAAAATAAACTTAAAAAGCAAATTTATTTAATTTTTAATTTAATTATTTTAATTTAATTTTTAGTTTATTTATACACGAAAACATTTTGAGGTCTGCAAAACAGTAATTTTTAAAGTATAGTAATTGACTTTACTTATTCGTTATTTTTTTAGTTAGTAATATTATTATTTACTTTTTACATTTAATACATATCGATAAATATGGCTTTGTTAATTATGAGATTTTTTAATTGAATAAAAATATAGAACTTACAAATATAATTTAGTAAACTCTTTATTATTACGTTATATAAATAGGGGCCAAGGTATACAGTTGAGCCCTACTTATAGGGGCTAAGGTATACAATTAAAATATCGAGACTTTTTTTTATGGTCATTGTGAAATTAAAAAATAACCGGTATACTTTAATATAAAACGTTGCATAGAAAAAAGTTTTATTGTATAGTCCATTTTTTTGCTTTTATATATTGCCGAATAAAAAGTTAAAATTTTAATATAACAAAAACTTATTTTAATAAAAACACGCAAGCAAATATGCATTGTCGTAAAGTTTTCCTTTTAATTATTTCAACCTACTTATGTGGTATTGCATCACTTATAATATGGGTGAATATATTCTTTGCGTAATATCATATTTTTCGAGTCCCAGTTTTCGTTTTTAGAAATATTTTATTTAGGGCTGACGAAACGGGTTTCGTAGAGGGGGAAGTGGGTGAAACAATCGTCAATTTCTCAAAAAGGTCCTCTTTATTTAAAACTATTTTTATATTATGAAATATTTAAAAAAAAAAAGTCCCTTTGAAACAAATTGTAGGGGAGGGGGATGGCGAGGGCTATTGTGCCCCCCCTCCTTTTGTCGGCTCTATTATTTAGTGATACATATGTTATTTAGTGATATATCTTATACTGCTGAGTTAGGTGAGCATAATGACGTCATATTGAAATAGCCTGCTGCCGGGGGCTTCATTACATACATCGACAAATAGCCTGACTCGTAGTAGAGTGCTGCTACATCGACTGAGGGTTTGGTATGGGTCAGCAACCTTTTCTTTCATTATTCTTCGTTTTCCCTCAACGTTTTCTAAAAAATCTCACTTGATTTATGCTAGCAAAAAAAGTGAGCAATTGCGCAAATAAATATGCTATAGTAGATATATATAGATCTATTATTTAATGATACACTTTTTGAAACTCATCTGTAATTTATTTTATTTTAAAACAGCAATAAAATATTTGAAAAAAAAAGCAAAACTTTAATCCTTTGATGATTAAAAACCTGATAGGTAGATTCGTGCGTCATAACCGCTATACATTTATGTCTTGTAGAAGCATATAATGTTATACGCTTATTGCATTACGAGCGTAGACGTTGTATAATGTCTACACCTTTGATGCAATGCTACAAAAAAAGTTTAATGCAAGGCATACATACAGTTGGAATTAAACAAAGCAATAAAAATATTAACAGTTTATTATAAAGTTATCGCAGGACAGAAAGACCCCTAATTTAACCCCTAAATTGAAAACAGAGAAGTTTGAGTTATAGTTGAAATTAAAACTATATATTTTAATTAGTCTGTTTATAATAACAGACTAATTGAAATGACACCAAATGATTTAATACAGGAATTTAGTTACGTAATACCTTTAAAAAATATGTATAAATGTATTAAGGCTATAATTACTTTATTTGAAACTCTGATTATGTAATCTTAAATAATATGAATCAATGTAATCTCATGATAAATGATGTAATACCATAATTAATATAAATCAATTTTTGTCAAGTTCTTTATATTATTTTTCTAGCGTTCGGCAACGAGTTAAAAAGTTTAAAATTCTCAAGGGAATCATCATCAATATAAAACTCAGCTAAAAAAATTTTCCTTATCAATTTTGTATAATAAAAGGAGTGACTTTAAGTTTTTGAATTAGAAATAACTAAAATCAGTTGGTTACATATGTAAGGTAAAAATGTTTGTATTAATAGATACGTTATTGTTTGTTTGATCGGTTAATCATTTTTGTTAAATAAGTCTATCTCTTCATTTTTATTGTTATTTTTATGTTCTGTAAAAAAAGTACTGGATAAAGTATCTTTTTCCGCCATTATGGATCTAGTAATATTTATGTTTTGAGATAACTTTCATACATGAAGCAAACTCCAAACGTTTACATGTTTCACTTATGTCAGATAAAGATGCTTTGCAAAACAATGCGATTATCAGAGTCAAAAATCAGATCAAATTAGTCAAAGGTCAGAGACAAAATAGCACAAAAATTTTCGTCCTTTACCCCAAACGTGAGAGCAACAAGTTGATAACCTTTTTTTTAATGAATTTTGAATTATGAACTTTTAACATTCTTAACTAAAGTTATATTTATCGATAAATTTTAAACTTCAAACTATAATCTCTCACCATTCAAAAATTAAAAACTTATAAATTTGTTACCCCGTAAATGTGGGGGTGTTATTGAGTAAAACAAATAAATAATCCTAAAGTAATCTTTTTTTTTTAATCCTAAGTTATTTGGTATACTTTTAAATTTTTCTAAAATCTTTGAGTAGAGCAAGTTGTTTTAAGTAAAACATTCGAAGATTCTATTATTAGGGGCCGTGCATCAAATCCTACTACTGGCAACTTTTTTTTTCAATCTTTTTTGAATTTTTTTTAATAAAAAATAAAACACTTTTGAAGTTTTATAGATATTATATAAATAACTAATGTAAAGGTATTATATACTATAACAAACAAATGGATTTTAGAAAAGCTAAAAATTCTAAAAACATCAAAATACCGGGAGAATGTAAATGTAAAAATCCACTATTGTTTACGCTTTATACAAGAGTGTGTGTATTATAAGAAAACTTTTCTAATAATTACAAATCTTTTTTGCTCAAACTGTTTTGTTTTGAGTTTTTGTATTTATGTTATTGTATTTTAAAAACACTAACTATAGTAATTACTATGTAATTTCAAAATTTGTTCAAAAAATGTAAAAACAAACTTGACGTATAAAAGTATTTTTTTGTCACAAACTAACGTCACAACGCAAATTTTTTTTTGTTTAACTTTTATATTAGCTAAAGCCACGTCTATAGTTTTAAATGGTCTAAGTTCTTCTTAGTTCTGCCATTTGTACAGCGTTACGTACAAATGTCTGTATAAGTGTAAACGTTTTAAGCATATGTTGAGTTTGCAGGCAGTATATGGAACAACCATGTATCTATAAAATTTGAAAACTTTAAAATCTTGTTTTAACAATTAGAAGTCTTTCTTGCCATATTATAATTTTTTGCTATAAATATATAAACATGATTGAAAAAATTTCAAAATTTAAAACGCTAAGGGAAGGTCTTAAACTGAGCTATCAACGATATGCGTTTAGGTGAAAAAAAACCAATTTATAAATCGCTAATAAGCCCTACCTCTACGGAAAAGGTGCGTATATTAATTTTTTTCACTTTTTAAGCAATTTTTCAGAATGAATTGTTTTACTAAAAAATATTGAAGTAAGTTGTGAAAATGTCGGTGTTGAATAAACTTAAAAAGACCCGCATTTTGTAATATATTTTTCCACGTTAGGGTTAGTAGTTTACTAATGTTATTAGTTTTTAGGTCACACTTTTTCAAAGTAATACTAACTATACAAATTAAAATGTTGTTTTAAACTTCTTTTATGAATATTGGAAATAAGACATAAATTCTCACTCCTCCTTTAAGTTCCTAAAATACGTAAAAGTTCTTTTTAATATCATATCTTAACAAAATATTGCTGCATGCTTCTAATGTTTAAGTGTAATTCACAAGAAAAAAACGATTTTGGCTCTTTGTTATTTAAGGATTAACGAATGGTTTGAGTTAATCATATAAAAAAATATTTTCGTTGGATAAGTTATAAATAATACTCTCCCAAAAATAATAAAAACTTAAATTTCTTATTGTTTAGATTGTTTATTTTCTTTTAAAAAATATAAAAGTAATTAAGATAATAAAAAGATTTTATTAATCTAAATATTATAAAATAAATCCAAAATTAGACAATTTTTTAGCCAATAACACTTTATCGGACCAAGTTAGAAATTTTTTGGAATGACTAAAAATTACTTATTATAACTTTGTATCTATGGTTATGGCGAGTGTTTAAATTATAAATTTAACAAAATAAATAGCATTACGTCTGACAAAAAAATATGTAGTATGATTAAAATATTTTTCAATTTATGACTAATTAACATAAAATAACATTCTGTCTATCGATAAAATACTTTTATATCTATCAGTATATATATATATATATATATATATATATATATATATATATATATATATATATATATATAAATTTATTTGTTAATTTTTTCCCAATAAAGTTAATTTTTTTATGTATTTTTAAAGCAACCATTTATTTGTTAATTTTTATTTTACAATTTAAATTTAAATTTATTTGTCAATTTTTTCTAAATAAAGTTATGTATATTTAAAGAAACCATAGAAAGATATATGAATGTATACATTTGAGTTTTTACTGGTTCTATACTTTGCAACTGTTAATGGAGGTTATAGAAACAATGGTAAGAAATACATTTGTCAATAACATACATTGAAAAAAAACTTTTACATTTTTTTTATAGATCAGTCATAATTATTTATTGTTTTAACTTTTATTTTTATACACTTATCTATAATTATTAGGAAATTACGTAACAAGCCAAAAAGAATCTCTAGTAAATTACTATAAAAACTCTCTATACGGAACATTTAATGAACAAAAATGTGACTTATCAGGTATAACAAAAAATATAACTTAGTTTAGACTTTAAAACTGTTGCATTAAATGCAATGGTGCGTATAAATTATTTAATATTTTATTTTCTTTTATTATTAGATCATTGTATTGTCAGTTTACCCTCATCTATTAATCAAAGAAAATGCAAACTAAAAAAATGTTTTTCAAATTATCAGAAAAACAAAAACCTAAGAAACAATCGATGTATGGAAGCAAGGAAAAGCGATGTTTTGTTTGCAAGAAAATGGTACAGTATTACTGATGGGAGTACATTATCACGAAGTGAATTCCCATTTAAAGACGTTCCGTTTTTAAATCAAAGCTTACGTGACGTTAATTTTTATACTGCAATTAATCCTATAGAATCTTCCTGGCTGATGCTTCTTCAAACGTGGATAAATGGCCTAATGAAGCCAACATCAGATAAAATAAAAAGTGTTTTTAATAATACTAACCTTCATAATATCGAAGCTTACCGACAATTAAAAGCTGCATTTGAAGCCAGCATTCGCGTAAGTATATATTGGGTGTCCTTTTACTTTTTACTGTTTCTCAATATTAGTTCAAAAAAAGAAAAAAAAGAAAAAAGAAATTTGTTATCTTTTAAAATTACGTATAAATTTTAAATCCGCAAAATTTAGTCAAGAAAGACATAAGTAACATTTTCATGTGCAGGGTTTTTTTAGTTTTCATGTTTTACAGTCTTTCAATACTCCGCAATACTTTGACAAACCAAGTCTTTATCCGCAAACGTTTACCGATTTAAGTTTTGGTGAACTTTGGAAATCTAACGATATTTTTGCTCAAAGAAGATTAGCTGGGTCTTGTCCTTTTCATCTTAGAAAAGTTACAAAATCAGGTAGTTTATTTAATTATTTTTTTTTACCAGAACAACAAAACTTATAAAATATATATAACTGAAAAACATGTATTTATAGGTGAAATTGGTTTTTCCGATAAAACTTTATTCAGCTTGTTAAATAAAAACTATAATTTTAATGAGTTCATTAACCATGCTAGCGGAGGTTCCATTAAATCAATGTCTCAGGTCAGGAAAATAATTTTGTTATATTTAAAACTTTATTTAACTTTCTCTCTCTCTCTCTCTCTCTCTCTCTTTATATATATATATATATAAAAATATATATATATATATATATATATATATATATATATATATATATATATATATATATATATATATATGTATGTATATATATATATGTATGTATATATATGTATGTATATATATATATATATATATATATGTATATATATATATATATATATATATATATATATATATATATATATATATATATATACATATATATAATTTGTAGTAGCAATTTCTCGGCAGATGTAGTACTTTGTTGAAATTTAATAATTTCAGGCAATACAGGAAGGGGCGTTATTTATTCTATATCATGACTCGTACAATGATATTGTGACTCAGCCTGATAATCTAAATAAAGATCAAACTGTACTAGGTAAAAATCGGACAGTAATGAATAACACATCTCCAATCACACTTTTTGTTTTGGTAAAAGGAGAATTTAAAGTTGCTGCAATACAAATAGATTACAAGCCAAGTAATTTTTTTTCTATGAATAATTCAATTAATTATAACTAATTCAATTAATTATAACTAATTTAACAAGTTGTAATTAATTCAACAAATAGTGCTTGTAGTTCAGATTAAGTATGTACAAGTATATAGTTTTGTATTGTTTTACATAATAATGTTTACTTAGATTCGACAGTTTATTCACCGTCATCTCCTATTGATCAATGGCTTTTGGCACGTGCAATGGTAGAAATGACTGATCAAGATGTTTGCGATGCTAAAGTTCATTTGGGATTTCTTCATTTACACGCTTCTATTTTTTGTCTATCTTTTAGTAGACATTTAAGTACCCAGCATCCCCTTTATGATCTATTTAAATGGCATTGCTATGGTACTGTTCCCGCACTTAGCCTAAACTACCCCACTCTTTATTTAAACAACTTCTTGCCTTATGCAATGGGCAATAAAGGTTTTTTGAAACTTTCAAAAATTGGTTTTGATGAAGCTTATTACGGTCAATACGATTTGGAACAGCATTTAAAGGTAAAATTATATAAAAATATTTAAAAGAACTTTAGATATGTTTTGGCAACAAAAATAGTATATATATTTTTCATTTATGTTTTACATATCAATGATTCCCTACAAACACATTAATGTCTATTTATGGTTAAAACAACCCAAAAAACATTCTATAACAAAATTTTAGTGGACCTATATAGACAATTTGAGCGGACCATTGTAGTTTTGCTTATCGGTTACTAAGTGGACTATTACTAAGTGGTAGCAGTCAAAAAGGACTAGCCGATGACTAGCCACTTTTACCACGTCGGAAAGTTATCGGCTTATAATTTATAGCGGCTGCCACTAATGCAAAAATGAGGAAAACTCCAATGAACCGCTAAAAAATGCCTATATAGGTTCTCTGCAAATCCACTAAAACAATGTTTGCTTTGAACGTTTAGACAAAGCGTTTAATTTTGGTTGATTATCCGTTCAGAATAAAATCCAGAATAACGTTTAGAACAAACCTCCATCAGTCGTCAACATTCATACGTATTTCAACGTATATTATAGGTTTATTAAACGTATAAAGCGTTTAGATTAGGCGCATATAAAAACGTTTAAATTTGAGACTGATATTTAGCCTTTTGAATTAGTCTTATAATTAAACCATCTAATTTTAGTCAATAACTGGTTGCTGAACGTATATATATATATATATATATATATATATATATATATATATATATATATATATATATATATATATATATATATATATATATATATATATATATATATATATATATGTATATATATATATATATATATATATAAATACTTTTGAATTAGTCTTATAATTAAACCATCTAATTTTAGTCAATAACTGGTTGCTGAACGTATATATAATATATATATATATATATATATATATATATATATATATATATATATATATATATATATATATATATATATATATATATATATATATATATATAAATACTTTTGAATTAGTCTTATAATTAAACCATCTAATTTTAGTCAATAACTGGTTGCTGATCGTATATATATATATATATATATATATATATATATATATATATATATATATATATATATATATATATATATATATATATATATATATATATATATATATATATATATATATATATATATATATATATATATATATATATATATATATATATATATATATATATATATATATATATATATAAATACATATATATATATATATATATATATATATATATATATATATATATAAATACATATATATATATATATATATATATATATATATATATATATATATATATATATATATATATATATATATATATATATATATATATATATATATATTTATCGAATCCGGCCCAAATTTGACTAACTAATAATATATGTATATATAAACAAAAGCTATTTAATATATCGTCAGCCGATATTAAAAGAAAGTTTAAATGTTTTATTTGCTTTTTAGAGACAAGGTTTAGATGACACAAGAATAAAATACTATCCTTACCGCGATGACGCTCGAGTAATTAGCAAAGAACTTCTTGATTTTAGTATAAAGGTTGTGAACCTGTAAGTTCATGATATTATAACTATAAGTTTGCATTAGTTACTATTCTATCCGTTAAAATTATTTTTTTAGTGTGAAAAAATAAGAAAAGTATTTCAACTTTAAGATAATATGATAAATAAGATAATAAGCCAACAAAAATTTAAAACCAGTAGTCCAAATCAAGTATTTAAATCTTTAAAAACTATTAGTGGCTTTTAAACATAAATCGTCCTTGCGCAAGCAATTACGTTTTTTTTTATTTATTTTTAGTTATTACAAAGATAATAAAGACGTCATAAATGACGTAGAACTGCAAAGTTTTGCAAACGAGTTATCAATTGACGGTACAGTTAAACCGGATGGAGGGAAAGGAAAGGTATACACTATGGATTTAAGATATAAAATATTATAGTTATTATTTTTTTTTTTACTATGAACACTGGGACACCAGGTACCTTTTAAATTTGTTTACAGAAAAACTAGTTAAAACCAGCAAACACATGACGACCAAAAGGCATTTACGTCTTTCGAGGTAATTTAAGTCATTTAGTGTAACAAATTTGCGGCATTTAGACGTTAATTTGTTTTAAAAACAACTGAAAGACGTCTTTTAGTCACATGATGTGTTTTTTAGGAGGATAGAACAAATAGGTATGTATTAGGATGTAAACGAAAAGAAAAAGTTAGAAACAAGTCATTAAACAAAAACTTTAAATGCGCTTTATCCTTCGCCATAGATCCTTCAGTGTTTCATGGAACGCACTCTAAACAAACCCCTATTCCGACCTTTAGCGTCCTTTACGTTTTTTTCCATTTTCGGACCTTAAGGACAGCGTCGGAATAAGAGAGTCTTCCGTGTTTCATTCTATTTAAAACGCAATCAATTTCACAGAAAATTGTTAATTTAAGTATCGCTAAATATAGCAAAATTTATCAATAAATAGAGTTCGAATTGTTGTTTGCCAAATTATTAACATATAATGGATCGTCCAAAAATTATGTTACGCTAAATTTCATAATAAACAAAACAAAAAAAGATCAAAAGTTTTTCCTCGCAGAGTCTTAATTTAAATAAATAATCAAAATAGGAAATTAAGTTGAATGAAAATCGCCGCGTAAAAGAGTTGAATATCTTCTACTTCTGTTCTTAAAACATTTTTTGCGTTGCGTAATTTTTGGACAATCCCTAAGTTCGAATGATGTTTTTTTGTAATTTTTTGTAGGTAAAACGTTTTCCTTCATCTTTCAATAAAAAAATTGAGCTAGTGAATTTTCTTCATCAATTTTTATGGTTTAATATACTGCATAGTGTATCGAACTATGCACATGGCCACTCATTTGTACCAGTTAAACCTACAAAACTGTATCATGATAGGAATTTTGAAAACAATTATCTATATAATTTGCCAGATATTGATACTGCTGTTGTAAGTATACTTTCTGTTTTTTGATTTTTATGAATATAAATGAATATAAATATATTCTCATGTTTTGCTAACAATAAATAATATTTTACTAAAAGTAATATTTTCATTTAAATATAAAACTTTCTAATCAATAAATACTTATTTAGGAAGCAATACGATTATCTGTATCTTTGGACAGCTTCAGAGCTAATCGCTTGATGGATTATTCAGATAAAGTTCAAGATAAAAAATTCAAAGAACTTGTCCAGCAAACTTATTGCGTGCTTAATAGCAAAGTACAGAAAATATTGGAACAAAATAATGCTAAACGAAAAGCTGCTGGTCAACTTACATTTCAATATGTAGAACCAAAATGGTTGACAAACAGTATTCATGTTTAGTTTCTAATTGAAGTTTTACATTAATTTATTTGCTAAATCATTTTGGTTAGTATATTAAACAGAAAAAGAAATTAGAATAAATATATTTATATACATATTTACCTAAACATTTTTTTTTCTTATAACAAAGAAAAAATATAAAAAATTTTCATTAATTTATGTTTTAAAAACAAATCTTGGTGATCTGATGGCGATAAAAAATAAATAACGATTGCGTAATTATACTTTATTTGAAAATATTTCTTAACTGATTACATGAGGTTAATTGACTTTTGAGTCAACATATTACTTATAAAATATTCACTCTATATAAACAAAACGTTAAACCATTAAAAAAATAATTTGAGACATTTTATGGTCAAAATATCTCTTATTAATAATTGCCTACTATCTGATTCTTTTTAATCGTGGAATTGAATCCGGTTACCACAAGTAATTCAAAAGTGAAAACTTAAAGTAATCTCTCAGATCATTGCTCCCTTTTTTTGATAAACTCCGAAAATTTATTTATATCAAACTCAAGAAGACATGGTCTATTTATTGGTCGCATAAATTCTTTAATTTTTGCAACTCTAAAACATTTATTTTTACCTTTACATACTTCTGTAAATTTACCCAGCGGGTAAATTCCTCTGGGTGTGTCTGGAAAAATTACTAATACGAAATTATCTTTTTTTTGGCGTTTTCTTGATTCCATTTTCACCGTTTTGATTAGGAGGGGTACTAAAAAAAGTCTTATTAAAATTCTTCTCGATTTATAAAGAGTTATATTTTTTGCAATTTTATAACGAAAGTTACCAATATAGTACTTCCATGAAAGATTTTCGTTTATATACTCTTTTTATATTTTATAGATTTTCGTTTATATACTCTTTTTATTCTCGTTTATATGACTCTTTTTATATGAATGTTATCAAAGACAAGCGCAGATGTTTCATTACATGCTTTTTGAATCTGAAAAAAAAAAAAAAAAAGTCTATTTGGTTAACTTTGCGAAAGTTTAACTGATTTGAGCAAGTCAGAAACTTTCTTTAGTCCAATATTGATATCATAAAATAAATAAAAAAAGATAAGTATCATCAGCAAACATTATTGTCATTAAGTTTGAGGCTCAATAGAAATCATTAATATAAATAAAAATAACAGTGATCCAAATATGAAATCCTATGGAACTTTACATGATAATTCTAAAAAATTGGAAGACGAAGATACATCTATCCCAGTGGGCGCAGGACTTTGTGCGGCCGTGGCGCAGTGGTAAGAGCGCTTGCTTTATAAGCATGAGATCCAGGTTCGAAACGAGCTTTGGACATATTTCGCGTCATCGTAGGGAAGGAGGCGTGAACTTCCTGGTTAAATGCACTTCCGCGGTGCTCTGTGACAAGACCATTAGAACTTCTTGGGGCATGTAAATAATAAATTAAAAAAAAAAAAAAAAAGATGTCTTCTGAACGTTCAAAAGACGTTTAAAAGACTTTTTTATATCTAGTGCTCACTGCAAAGTTAATGAATTGTTTACAATTTTTTAAGTAGTTTTTTATAATGTCAAGAGTTTTACAATTATACCATGTTTCAATTTTTTTTTACAAGAATGGGTTGTAATAATGGGTAGAATTATTTTTTATTTTTAAAACCGTACCGATTGTTAGGTAGTATATTATTTTCAGAGGGATAATTAAATATTTGGTTGAACAATTTTTTTTTCTAAGACTTTAGAAAAAACAGAAAGGACAGAGAATGGACGATAATTACTATCATTTATATGTTTACCTCTTTCGAATATAAGGGTAACTTATGCTACCTTCAGTTGTTGTTAAAAAACTTCTTGACTTATTCAACAATTAAAAACTTTGATAAGAATATGATTTATGTTATTGTTTGAATTAGTGATTTTTCCAACTTAAATGTTATATTTTCTATTATCCAATTGGTCCAGACAATATAAATGTTTCCATTTATATTGTCTCGACCTATCACTTTATATGATTTAAGTATTTTAAAAGCACTTTCAAATTCTATAATACTTCAAAAGTAGTCTAACTAGTTTTACTAGTGAAAACTAGTTTTAGTAGTAGAAACTAGTTTTACTAGTGAAAACGCACAATTATTAATTAAACTTAACATGTCTGGAATGCTCTTAGATAAATTTGGTCTCAGATATTAAAAAAAAGCTATAAACTAATTAAGAATATGCTTACAAATATCAATGTAGAGCACTTCGTGCGCAAACTATTAATTTTTTGAATATATATTTAAAATGGCACAAATAAAATTGCATATACCGCGTTTTGTAATTACTTTTTAAATTTATCAAGTCAAAGGATTGGTTTTTTAACTCAAGAAGCATATTTTATCTAGAAAAATAATTTTCAAATTCGTGTTCAGCAATAAGTTTTGTGCCAGATATACAAAATATATTTTAGTTGATTTTTTAAATAAATTTTGAGGTCTTGTACTAATTACTAACTTACTAATTATTTTTGTCAGAGTTTATTCAAAAACATCGCGAATACTCGAAAACAATTAGACAATAAACAAAAAACGAAGAAAGTTCGTGCTGGTACGAAAAATTAATTAGCATTATTTTATTAAAAAATCTGATCCGATTTTTAAAAACAATGGACTTCCTACTATTGAAGTATATAACGAAAACTTCTTAATAAGTGTAAAATATTAAAAAACTTTTTTGTTATATTTTTAAAATGACACACTGTGGAACGGCGTTTCTCTATTTATATATGCGTTTCTCTATTTATATTAATTTCCGATTATTAAACTGCGTTCGTTGTTTCTTTTTCACACTTCTGTAACAAATATAGATATCTATTATCACTTAGCCAATGTTTTACACAATAAGATTCCTTTCCATTAAACATTAAATTAGTCTCAAGTTTAAAAACAATTTTTCTATCATAAATATAAGATTGGTTATTAAGCCGTTTTTTTGCTCTAATTTTAGTTTTGGCGTATTTGGAACATGTAGCAGTCCAAGGAAAAAACAAACAACACAACATAATAATAAATATTTTGGTTTATATGAAAACAATCCAAAAAATGGCAAACCTAGTTAATAATTGGTTAAAATTTTTTACATAAATATATACAGTATTTATATTGGTTTCAATAAAAAAATAATCAATAGCACGGTAACAATTTACCAATATCAAAGTTCCAAATCGAAAACTACTATCTCGATAAACCATTTAAAAACAATACCGTTCACGTAAGTTCCTCAGGAACAGTTCGTCGCATTATGTATTTTCCTTTTTGAAACTGTGCAATAGATAGTTTGCATTTAACGCCTTCTCTTTTGCTAACCCATAACTAAATAAAAAGATTTTTTTGATTGAAGAATAAATAGTATACACATTTAAAAAGTTATTAAAGGTTACAATTTCGGCATCAATACAGGGTTGCCAAATTTTTAATGGCTTTTGACTCATTTTTTCTTACTAAAAAAGCTTTTTCACTGATTTTTAAAGTAATACCTTTACTTAGGCTAAAAACTTTTAAAAAATTTAAAATCTGAAGACAATACAGAGAAAAAATTAACGGACAAATAAACTTGTTACAAACCAATTAAAAATTATATTACAAATTATGACAAAATGAACTTCCTAATATTAAAATAATAATAACAATAATAATAATAATAATAATAATAATAATAATAATAATAATAATAATAATAATAATATAGTAAGTTAAATAGATAAATTTATAATATAATAAGACGTTTGTTTATTTAAGGAAGGATTTTCCCATTTAATATGAAGTGCTTCTTTTATTTTTAATTTGTTAATGGTAGAGGCAGTATCCAAAATCTGGAAGCAATCATAATTAGTTGGTGTTTTACAATTAATGGATGAATTTAAATGTTTTCTCTGTATTGTCTTCAGTTTTGAAATTTATTTACCAGAGTTTTTATTGTAAATTAAATCTTTTGAAAATGTAGTTAGACTACGAAACATGTCAAGAATAAAAAATATTGTGATTTTTATTAAAATTTATATATATATTTATATTTTAGTTAGAAAACATCAAATAATACAAATTCTCTTAATAAAATTAATAATTTATTATCAAAAACTTTCGTTGGATTATGGTTACCAGCATCATCAGCTCGTAATACAAAAAAATGTTTTTTAAACGTTAAAAACATTTTAAAATTAAGTGACGTCAGCAGTTGAGTAACTTCTTTCTTATTTACGTAAAAATAGAAAAAAACGGTCTAAAGTTTTGTTTTAACAAACTGCCAGTTATCTAAATTAATTCCGCCATTTAAAGATGAACAAAATTGGTACCTCTGTATTTCAAAAGCTTCGCGCACTTTTTGATCAAACTTTTTTTGTTTCCACTTGAATTGTTTATAAGTTTTCCCACTTTATTTCTTGGGAGCAAAACTTATCATGGGTGCCTATTGCAAACTGGTAATGTTTCCCCTAGTTTAAACTTTGTATATATTTTTGTGTTTGAGTCCTAATTTGAATTTTTTTTTCATCTGCGTTTCTCTTTGAGCATTTTCATTCAATTAAATAAGTTCCGGGTTGACTATTATGTGGTAATTTAGTTTTGTTTTTTGATGTTATTAATGTTCTTATATTTGATTTGAAGACTACTATATAGCCAGCTTTCCAAAATATTACATTACATATTTATTATTTAACCCTAGTAAATATGTATTTACATTACATATTTACTAGGGTTAGTTAGTGATTTAACATAATTAAGATATATTAAAAAAAACCTTATGATCTTCATTTACAAGATGTTTAATTTTATGTTTTTCAGTTAAAACTGCAACTTTAGCAAAACCGCAAGTTAAAGAATCGACAATAGGCTGCTCAGTCATAATAAAAGATAAAATTAATTGTATTATAAATCTTTTGTGAAAATAAAATTTTTACTTGTTCTTTCGTTTTCATAATAATGTTTTTCACTCGTTCCTTTGTTTTCCGAATTTGCATAAGAAATATTAAATTTTGCCGCTATTTTACATTTATTTGCAATAATCTTAAGTAATTTAAAGATCAGATTTCTAGTTAAATAGCTTAATGACATTATAAATTAGAGGTGATGCATATCACACTAGTATTTAAAATTTGAACTTAGACTTTTAAATGAAGCATAAGACATAAAACATTGAAAGTCTAAAGGTGAGTTTCCACTCATCCGCTTTTCTACGGGAACGGGATAGGAAAGGGAAAAATAATCACGTGAGCATGGGTAGTTTTACTTCGGACATATTAAAACTTATAATACGCATGCCCACGTGATTAGTTTTCCTTTCCCTTTCCCGATCCCGTGAAAAAATGGATGAATGGAAACTCACCTTAACGAGCCGTATGTCAAATTTTGTGTTCATCACATTCAATTTAATAAAAGCTTTCATATTTAATCGAAAAAACAGATTTTAAACTCAAAGAACTAATTTTTTTCTACCTTTGATATGTTTTTAGACATACGACTGGTTAGAAATAGAATATATGACTCAAAACTTATTTGAAAATTTTTTTTTCTTTAGTTAATGCTTTATCTTCGTATAGCATCAACATCATTTTATACCAAAAAATGATACCTTAACTATAAAGCAAAATTTTATACCTGAACTCGAATAATTTAAAAAATTTTTAACATTATTTAATTTCAGACATACGAAAGGACTAAAATTAAAAAAAACTTCGTTTTTTTATTTTTTAGTCGTGCTAAATAAATTCAGTTTAACATAGCTTTTTCATAAAAACGCAAAATTTGTTTATTTTCCAGAACGTGCATTAACTGCGTTGAGTATTTAACATTTTGATTTTTATCTGCCAATTGATGAAAACATACTCAATAACGCTATTACCCTTCGCCGAACAACATATATTAATAGACAAGCAAAGCAAATCTTTTATACGCCTTGCAAGAAAATTTTTCATTTTTAACAACAGTAGTATATTATGGATTAAAAAGGAAGCAGAATTGATTGATGTCACCATGGGAGCGTATAATAGCGCGGAAGTTAGCGAACTAGTTGGGATTTTCTTTAAGATCAACTTTCACAGTTTTACAACAAAAATGATTTCGGTTTATATCGAGATGACGGTTTAGCTGTATTTAAGAGCAAAATTGGCCATCAAATGGGGAAAAGAAAAAAGCATGGCGTTCAAGTTTTCAAACGTAACAATCTCAATATCTCAATCAATTGCAATGTTAAAATTGTTAAATACCTTGATTTAACTTTAAATCTTATACAAAATTCATTTTAACCATACTACAAGCCTGATAATGAATTAAGTCATGTTCATACTGATTCTAACCATCTACCTAACATAATAAATAATTTTCCAAAAAACATCGATCTAAGATTGCTTGCCCACTAATCAAGTGAAGTCATTTTTAATAATCAATCAATATATTTCTGAAATATTTGGTATTACATTTCATAGTTTATTACAAATAGTATAAACTACTAACAATAAGTAAACATCTAATGACAACGATTAAAATAGTAATGGTAATAGTAATATAAATATTTATACAAATAGTAACAATAATAATAATAATAGCAATAACAATAATAATAATAACAATTAAAATAATAATAATAATAATAACGATGATAATAGTAATATTAATAAATAATACAGCTAAATATTATACAATATTATTAGGAAATAATGATGGTAATAAAAATGTAAGTAATAAAAACATCGCATATGATAATAATAACTAATACCAACAGAAATAATAATAATCTATCAATGAGCCTAACATTTTATATACAGCATTTTTCTAACAAATAGTCAAAAAGACAGTTTTTAAATTGTGAAATAGTGTTGAGTGATTGAAAATGAAGAGGTAAATTATTCCACGATTTTATGCATTGGTTTGTGATGGAATTATCACCGTATTTTACCAAACAGCGATTTGGGATAGATAACTTAAAGTTACTAAAACCAATCTGGATACACCTAATAGCTGGCATATAAACCAAGCTTAAAAAATGTTCCAAAAAATAACCACAAAAAAATATTATCTGGTACAATACTCCATTCAGTAAAATGTTGCAACCAAAATTGGTCAATGCTTTTTAACCCTAATTAACCAGCATTTCCTTAAAAACCACTAACTACACAAAATATTTAACAGAAATAGAATTAGAATAAGCTACTCCTGCATGCCAAACATTAAATCTATCAACTTACAAAACAAATATACTTTATATAGTGATGTAAAGTTATCAGAAAAAACCTGCAATTGTAATAAAAAATCCCTTTGTCCACTGAACATCCATTGTTTCTCTAACAACATCGTTTACCATGCCACCGTAAGCTCAAATAAACCCTAATACAAAGATAAAATATATATTGGGGTAAGCGAAACCTCTTTTAAATTACGTTATGTGAACAATCTAAAAATGCTATAACACAAAAAAGTACAAGAACAACAATGAGCTGTCTAAGGAAGTATGTGAATTAAAAGAAAATAACTTTACACCTTGAATCAAATGGAATATTGTTAAACGCTGTAAAACATACAATCCTGCGTCAAATATTTGTAAGCTATATTTAAATGAAAAGTTTGAAATATTATTTTACAAAGGAGACAATCTGATAAACAAAAGAGGCGAATTAATTCCTAAATATAGGCACAAATAAAAAATTTCTCCTTTCATTATTTAATAGCGGATATTAGTTTTCCATTACATCTTCTTGCATAATAATGTCAGAACTCATTCTACTATAGTTTGTAATCTTTAAACAGTTTTTTTATATTTTGATTTTGTACTTTATGGCTGAAGATTGCCAATAGGCATGAAATTTTAGGTTCCATAAAAAGTTGTTTTTCCTAAATTTTAAGTATAAAACGCTCAATTTTTGAAAAAAAAAACAAAAAAAAAACAAACTTTTTTAAAACATTGAGCACTCTACTGCGATCAAGTATTATTAATACTTAATCAAACAACAATATATATATATATATATATATATATATATATATATATATATATATATATATATATATATATACATATATATATATAAATATATATATATTTATATATGTATATGTATATGTATATGTATATATATATATATATATATATATATATATATATATATATATATATATATAAAGGTCAATTTAAATAAAAATCAGTTAAAATTTAAAAATAATAATGATCTACCTCTACAGTATTAATTCCAGTGATAGTAGCACTGTAAAAAAAAATACAAAACAACATAAATATATAACATAATTGTGCAGACTGAATAAACACTTTAACATTTTGAATTTTATTTCAGTAAATAATTTTCCGAAATGCATTTAAATTAAAATGTTTTATAAAACTTCCAAAAGTATTATAAAACATTTTTAACATTTCAAAAACTCTCAAAGCGTCTGGCATGCTGGATTTCTCTAAAAGCTCTTTTCAGGGTTAAGGGAAATATTTCAAAAACATTGAACAAAAACTTTCTTAAAAATATTCAACCTTTCTACTTTAATCACATTGTTCTTAACTTTCAGTATTTAGGTGTTTATTCTCATATTTCTTGTTATAAGGTTTTTTCTTTTCATAATGTTTTATGGTCATATTCCATTCTTTACAACTAGTTATAAATATCTTGTTTTTCCTTTTATAGAATACAATTTTCATGATTGGGTTGCGTCTAATTATACCCAATCTTTTTTGTGCAAAAAAGTATATAAAAGTTAGGCCTGTTTTTGCAGCTTAAAATTAGCAAACAATTAGTTGTCAACATCATATTCTGGAAAAGATTCTCAAACAGGTGATGGATAAAAAACTTCTTGGTAATACATCTCCAAGTATTTAATTTTTACATTTGTACCTTAACTATTTAAAACTTTAATCGAATAGAAAAACTTAAAATCCATTAAAAAAAAGTGATTTTCTCTTGATTCATTTTCAAAGCATTATTAAAGGGATGTAAAGCTAAGGGATGCAACATTATTTAAGAGATGAAAGACACATTCTTTACGTCCTAAAGGACATAAGTGATGTGTTTTTACATCCCTTGTATAATAGTACAAAAAAAACAAAACGTATTAAAGCATACAAAGAAATAAAAACTTACACAACTGGATTATCAATGCTATTATCCAGCAAAACCTTTTCACCTTTTTGAAACCTAGATAAATAAAATACAACTTTTTGAAAACTAAATAAATGGAATAAAACCTTTTGAACTTAATTCTACATTTATTGTTGTAGCAATTACTCTTTATCAGTTTTAAAACAACAGAATCCATCAATAAAATGAATAATCAAATATTATCATGTTATTTTTGAAATGTCAAAAAAAAATTCAAGAATGATCAAACTTAAGAAACATAAAATGGACTCAAATACTTTTGTTCTTAGGAAACACAGAAAATAAAAAAAACTTTAAAACCAATAATACTATATTTCAGCACACTCAATTACTTAGAGAACCAATAACTTAAAATGAACTTTTTTTATTATAAAACAGTTTGTGTTTTATTTGACAAATAACATAGCAAAAAATAAAAAGCAAATATTTCATAAAATGAAAAAATAAGAAGCAAAATAGAAAAGACAAAAAATAAAAGCAAAACATAAATTATTAAAAATATTTTATTAATATCATTTATTCAATAACTCATATATTGATACAAGAACTAACAAAAGAAATAATAACAAAAAACAACATAAGGGTACTATTTGAGCAACTTATTATTTATACTTATTTAAAATTGGCATACAAAGTATTGGTATACAAAGAATACAAGATTCAGTTAAGCACTTGTTAAACAGAGTAAAGAGATAACTTTTTGGCTCGTCAATGCAAACTTTGCTTGCTTAACTCAATAAAATTTTTCTTAACATCTTCACTGTATTATTGTAAAGTTACTTAACTCCCTAAGGCGGAGGTGGCCACTTTTTAAAATAGCATACTGTGCAGCAAAAGCACTTGTAAAAATATTGATAAAACTAAACTACAATTTCTTGTTATCTATATCATGTTTCATATTGAAGTCTCTGTCTATGACTCACCAACATTTGGCCTAAATAATATTAATAAATTAAAAAAAAAAAAAAAAATAGCAATAAATGTTTTATTTATTGCTATTTTATAGTTCATTTATTTCAGAAATCATTCACTTTGAACAATAAAAAATTATAACACAATGTAACAAAGGTCTTACCCACTTTGATTTTTCAATGATTATTTATTAATAAATAATCATTGAAACTTTTCTTTTCTCATTCAAGCCTAGGCTGTGAGAGAAGCACACTAACAACCTCCCATGAAATGTTTTGTGAGTAATGTTAACAATGTATGGGCGCTCAGTTTCTGGTTGGTACTAAAAACGTTAACTTTAAGACAATTGATGATACAGAAAATTTTTTCACATTTATGGAATTATCAAAATTAATTAATAAACAGTAAAAAACTTATAGCGGACAAAAATTTTGTACAATTTAAACATGTAATTTGTAAAATTTAAACATGTAATTTGTCAAATCTATTGATATGAAGTTCTACCAATTAAGTTGTTGGGAGCATGCTACACTAAAAGTGTTCGACTCAAGAGGTTTTATCAAGTTGCAGAATCCTGCAAAAGTCAACCTACAATGTCTTGTATTGTTTTACCATGCACTAGTGTCTAGGTAAACCCTTTACCATACTCTTCACTATCTTTACCCATATCAGCAGAAAAAAATTTAGGAGTGAAATCAGAAAATGAACTTCAAGATGATAATTCTAAAAGTTTAAGGATTGTTGCAGTTAGTAAGTGATCGGGGCCCCAGCCACAACTAAAAAAACTTTTTTCAAATCCAGCCTCGGCTTAACTATAAGATTTAGCGGGGTCGATAGCTGGGGCTAAAAAAAAATTTATAGTATTTTATATACTATAACTTTATGCTTACATTTACTATTTATTAAATACTGGCATATATTTATATATTTTCAAATTCTAATTTAATTCCAACAAGATTGAAAGCAACCACTATTAAGTATGAGTTACTTTAAAATAGAGATTAAGTAAAAATACTAAGAAATGGTTAACTGAAGACTTAAAAAGTTGTGGGTTGTATACAAAAGAAAAACGTGAAGATGAATAATAGTTATAAGGTTTTTTTGATGTGCAAGGAAAAAAACTGGATCAATAAAAGTTTTTATAGCATGAAAGGATATAGATACAATATTCTTATACCAACAAGTTACAAGGTGTTGTTGTTGTAAGAAACAAGCGAGAATGAGTTTTGGTTTATCGTAATAAAGATAATAGCTTGTTTGAGCATTGACCATGATTATATTTGTAGAAAAAAGAAAGAAATGCAACTTTACAACAATGGAAAGCTTGGTAGATAAAGCAGGTCTAATTTATTATTATTTTTTTATGTTAATTCACCTCCCCAAGACTGAAAGCGCCACTACAGACAAGGAGACTACTTAAATGTGGTTATAACCCTCTCTCAACTATATAACTCCGAAACATGAAACTTGACAACCAAGACTGCTGCGCACAGAGTTGAGTTCTTCTCAAGTTGAGCGCGGTATTACCAGGAGCGCGGTGGGGATCAAACTCGGTACCTCTTGCTTATGACGCGAGTGCTCTACCACTACACCATGACCACATAACATTTACAATGTGCATTTAGACTTATGAGTAAGAGGGTTGTTATTTATCAATATAGGAATATCAACATTATTGGAATATTTTTTTGCAGTAAATAAATGAGTTTTGAGCAGATTTCAAGTCCAGAATTTAAATCTATAAGCCACATCAAACAAGCCTTAGTCTGTTACAGAAGAGAGATCAGATTAAAAATTAGCTGCTTGTTTTAAGCAATTAAAAAGTGAAGATTTTTTGTCAAGACAAGAGTATAAAGTTGAGTCTTCAACAAATAGAGCCACTTTAGATGTTAAATTTTCATAAAGATTGATATTGCAGATAAGAAACAATACAGGAGCAAAGATTTAAAGGTACCACAAGACAACTTGTGGTACCCTTAAAGTTACTTGAAATAAAGAAGAGTGTAGACCTTTAAGAATTACTTTATTACAGCATTCAGTAGGAATTTAATAATCTCAAAATATTTATATAAAGAAACTAATAATAGAGTGAAGACTATTCGTAGGATAGTTCGAGAGGTCAAAGTTTTTTCTAGAGTTTTGAAATATTGGAACCACTTATTAGAACTTTTTAAAAAATAAGTATTATTAAGTCATGGTCAGGTCAGGTTTATCCTGCTACTGGTAACATGTAACCCAGTACAATCTGCTTCATGTCCTGCTGCCTTGTAGGATATGCCTTTTTAGGCAAAAGCTAGGAGATGCAAACTCTGACATAACACACCCCCTGCCTTGGGGCTCTTGGTTGAGTAAAGGCTAGAGATAATGTCTCAATAAAAATACTCATCTTGGGCAGATGTTAAATGCATCCGGCTGCTGTCTTGTAGAAGGCCTCCTAGGCAAAGACTTAAGGGGTAAACAGATCCTATCTGTTGACCAGCCTCGCACCCCTTCTTTATCTATTAGGCTGGTGCAGATGTATTTTTAATACATTGTTTCCCGAACTCTGTGGTAGCTCTCATAGAGGTTGATTCCACCAACAGCTGAAAAACATTTAACAGTACTATGTTGCGCATGGGTACTAACAGTGCCATGTTGCGCATGGTGTCCCTGTTTGTACTTTTGGTGTGCATTGCCAAAGCCATATTGGAGCCCGTTGCTACGGCTTAGGGTTTATTAGTGGAAATGAGGCAATTGCTTGGGCTATAAAACAGTGTACTGAGTACAATCTATGTTTCGAGTCAAGTTCTTTAACAAATTTAAAAATGAATAAAGTAACAAAAACTATAAAACACAAAAAACCACAGTCATCACCAAGTTCGCTAAACCTATCATTCACCAATATTCGTGGTCTTAGAAGTAACTTTTCTTCTACTGAGTCTTATCTCTTGCAAAGTTCACCAGACGTACTTGCTCTTGGTGAGACTAATTTGAGTTCTTCTGTCTCATCTTGTGATCTTAGTGTTGATGCTTATCTTCCTTTAATTCGTAAAGACTCCAATGTTTGGCCTGAGCATTAATATTCGTAAGAATTTACCCATTTGTCAAGAAACTAGGTTTGAATCCACAGACTACTCTTTTATGTGCTTTCGTTTAGCACCATTTCACTCTATCACCTTTCTCTTTGTTCTATATCGCTCTCCTTCATCTAAAGACTGCACTCTTCTTGATGTTATTTCTGATTATATTGACCAAGCCCTCATTCTTTATCCATCAGCCAATATTGTTGTTGTTGGTGACTTTAATGTTCATCACACTGAATGGCTTGGCTCTAGTGTCAGTGACTCTGCAGGCATTGAGACCCACAACTTTTGCCTTTCTCAATCCCTAACTCTAATAGTCAACTTTCCAACTCGCTTTCCAGACAACCCGAATCATTTACCTTCTCTACTCTACTTATGTATAGTTACTGATCTTAGTCAGAGCTCAGTTTCTCCACAGTCACCCTTAGGTGGTTCTGATCATGGTTTGGTCTCTCTAAAACTATTATCTCATTCTTCTTTACCATCAGAATCCCACTATCATCGTACATCTTACAACTACCTTAAAGCTGATTGGGACCATTTTGAAGATTTTCTTCAAAATGGGCCCTGGGTAAAAATCTTTCGTCTTCCTTTTGACAGATGTGCTTCTTACATAACTTTGTGGATTCAGGCTGGCATGGAATCCTTTATTTAGTGATTTTTTCGGTTATCCGTTTCAAATACCGGATAACAGTTCTCATCAATTTGCGGTTAACCGACTATTCGGTAAATTAGTGACGCTTTCTGAATACAGGATCTTCTAAATTTCAACGAACGTAGCGTTTTAAACTAATTTTTCAAAAATTAATGTTAAAGTGTACATTTTCAAGACAGTTAGTGAATACAGTCTTATATTATATATTTATAACAAAACATGGAAAAAGATATATATATTTTTTATATTATAATATAATATACCTTTTTAATTATATAATTAAAAAAGGTAGGAATAATGTACAAGTATAGTTTAAATGTTTTAATATCAGCAAATGTTTTAAAATCATTCTCTCATATAAAAACATTTGAAATGAGATATTATGAAGTAAATTTTTTTAGCGTGTA